GTCCTGGAGTCACCAATTTTGGAAGTCTCAAGCATTAATCATAAAATAATATTATTGACCCTTTCAACATATTTATCTTAAATCATAAAACATTATCCAAAGTATTTGAGAGATTCTTTGTCCTCAAATCGTTCTATTCTCTGTCCAAAACATTCATAGCCAGTTGAATCATGCCTCAAATTTTTTGCATCTCGAGATTTTCACGTGATTCAAAAGTTGTGTGAGTTTAGACAGAGAGATTTGGGGGATAAAAAATTGTTGGCAATTTTTTCATATATTTTTTCGTATTGGGTGGGGAAAAACAGGGTAGGGTATAGGCCATTTACCTATGATCTGCAACAAGCATTTTGGAGTAGCCACCATAGGTGATGCTACCATCCCAGAAAATGCCATTGTATGTAAACTGAATCTGGTCACAGTAGTTCTCCTGTGAGTCCTTGCAGAACTCGCATTCCACTTTTATATACAGCCATATAAAATGTGTTAATGAACTCAATTATTAGTGGAAAATTTTCAGTAATATATATTTTTTGGGTTGTATGTGAATCAAATGTTTTCAGAGAGGGATTAGTTTTACCAACATTTTGGTACATGCATTACCATAATTAATATAAGAAAAATTCTTTTCATAACATATTAATAATTAAATTATTTCTAAAGTATGAGCTCTATTTATTTTGTTCCCAATCTTTTAATTACATCAATTCAATCCCCAACTTATTTCATTTGTATTTGAACCGTCCCTAATGTTGTCTTCGTTCAAATTCTAACCATATTTTGTATAAATATAGACAAAATTTATTTACTTCAGTTATAAAATTTAGACCAAAATGACACTAGGTCCATTTACTTCAGTTGTTTTAGCAAAATGCATTTTTCCTATCTCTATGCATCCTTCACTTCAGAATTATCAATCTATGTCCACTAATCAATCTTCTTACAAATCTATAAAGCTGAATATCAAATCCCTTCATTTAAAATCCACACACTTATCAACATTCATTAATTTTGATCACTAAAATTTGAGCATGTTCTAATTTCGTTTTAACATTTTGTCAAACACGTAGTGAGTAAGAGGGTGGAAAACAACAATAATAAAAAGCTTAGACCAAACAACAGCAACAAATAAACTACCAACAACAACAATAGTAACATCATCACACACAAACTAATTGATTAAAAGAAAATTAGAATTGAATGGGAGTACGATTAAGAATCATTATGTAGGACAATAGAAGAATGAATTGGATTTAAGAGGGTGTGCTTCAATGGTTGAGAGAGAGAGGGAGGAAGGGGAAGAAGAAGGGGAAATACCAGGTGTGCTCCAATGGTTGCTGCGAGCGAGAAATAGAGAGAAAAAAAGCTGCTCTTGGGGAGATGGGTTGTATCGTCGCCGGTGAGGAGGTGGTCGTACCGTCACTGGTGAGGAGGTGGTCGTATTGTTGCCGGTGAGGAGGTGGGTGCTCGTGTGCGACAGTGGTGGCCGGTAGGAGGGTCGCCTGCGATGGAGTGAGAGAAAGAGAGAGAGAGAGAGAGAAGATCGATGATGAGAGAGTGACATAGGAGAGGGCTGTGTAGGGTAATTAATTAAGGACAAATGCTAACTAAATTTTATTTTAGTAGCCAAAACGTTAACCAACAGCGACCAAATGTTATTTTAGTCGCTAAAAGTAATAATTTAGCAACTAAACATTTTAGTTGGTAATTAATTTCATAAATCCCGCAAAAAATTCAAATTTTCCCTCCAATATTTTAATTCTTTGGTGACTAAAATATTTTTTAGTCGCTGAAAATCAATTTTTGGCGACCAAACTTTTGGTCGCCAAAAGTTTGAAAGTAAATTTTTTATTTTTCATTCGGCGATTAAAAAATTTTAATAGCCAAAACTATCTATACAGCGACTAAAATATTTTTTAGTCGCTAATTGTGGCCTTTTTAGCGACTAAATTTTTTTTAGTCGCCAATAATCAATATTTCCCAACTAAAAAAAAATTAGTAGCTAAATATTGTACATTTGCCGACAAAAAAAAATTTTAGTCGCCAATTCGACATGTTTTGGCGACTAAATATTTTTTAGTCGCCAAATTTGGTTGCTAAAAGTGTATTTTGTTGTAGTGAAAGCTCACTTACTCGGTGGTTTGAATCTTGGAGGGTGATGTACACATTTGCATTTGCAGCTTATCTGTGTCCTATTTTGTGAAATTCTTTTGTGCTTTGAATTATTTAAATCAAACAAGGAGTTGAGAGAAATGAGAGATAATTAGATTAGATAATTATAGTATAATTTTTTGAAGCAGTGGGAGATAATTGAAAGCAATTTATAAGAAATGTCACGGTTTTGGGCATTTTGGAGAATTTTTTTTTATGAGATCTATACCAACAAAACTATTTGCTTTATATTAGTATAGATATAGTGTAATGGAAGACTATATAAACAACCCTTTTCACATGCACAATCTCTAGAAAGTTGCACTACAATGAGACAACAAAAGATAGCTAGCTACAAACTTAACATGCTCTAAAGACTTAGGTCACCAATCCCACAGTAAACACACTCATAATTAAAATACTGAGGGCATGGTTTTATCCATACAATTACTACACCCACCAAATAAATTTTCTTAAGTCTAATAGAATCATAGAACTTGCCCTAAGGATTTTTTTTTTTGTCCAAAACTTTCAATTATTTGAACTTCGATTATCGACCATCAAAATAATATAATAATTAGTTCCATAACCATTAGTACTTGGATGTTGCTGCTAGTGTGATTTTGTAATCGTGGCTTTTGCTTGCTTACCAAACACAAAGAAGTCTTTTTACTCTACAATTTTTTCTATTTCAAATTAATTTAATGCATATGACATATAGTTGGACAGAGTTATTTGAGCGGCTACAATAGCGTTTCAGACCCCCTCTTCTTTCTTTTTCTTATGCGCATTCGATTGTCTGCCTAGCAACACATCTTTGTTAATTTAGTGGATTTAGTGGTTAATTTTTCCATTGTCATTCTGTGGGTGTTTCCATTCCATTGTGATTCATGGCTCATACTTTTATTAATAAATGTTATTCATTTCTTATTTTCTTATAATTTTTTTATGAATACTTTTCTTCTATTCAGGTAAGAAATGCTCTCTCTTAACTTCTTAAGCTTCTTCTTATATGTTTATTCTTTGTAGAATTTTTTTTTTGGGGATGTATTTTATGGTATTTGGGTATATTTTTTTAATCTCTTCTAAACTATTCTATGTTTCTCTTATGTTGGCGTAAATAAGTGATGCTTTTGGTGTTGGAAGGACTGTATTTGCTTTTAGGTAAGAAACATCATCTTTTTTCTATTTTGCTTTTTTTTTTTTAAAAAAAAAAAATTCTTTATTTCTATTTTCCTACCCTTGATAAGCACGACACTGTTATGAAAAGAGTAGAGTTACAATTCGTGGGATTGAGGTATGGTGCCCTTTATGTGTTTGGTATTTCACTTTGAACCACCGTCTTCCGCCTCCACTTGCCACCACTTGCCATTTCTCACTCTTTTTTATATTTTTAAATTTTTTTAAACATTTTGTCAATTACCAAACGAGTTTGTAGTTTATGTTTTTTTAAAAATAAACAAAAAATAAACAAAAACCAGTTTATAAAATTTTTGTAAATATAAACTGAAAACGTAAACGTTACCAAACACACTCTTATTAATAAATGTTATTCCTTTCTTATTCTTATAATTTTTTTATGAATACTTTTCTTCTATTCAGGTAAGAAATGCTCTCTCTTAATTTATTAAGCTTCTTCTTATATGTTTCTTCTCTGTAGATTTTTTTTTTTGGGGGGGATGTATTATATGGTATTTGGGTATATTTTTTTAATCTCTTTAAACTATTCTATGTTTTTTTTTTTGTTGGCGTGAATAAGTGATGCTTTTGGTGTTGGAAGGACAATATTTGCTTTTAGGTAAGGAACATACTCCTTTTTCTGTTTTGCTTTTTTTTTAAAAAAAAAATTCTTTATTTCTATTTTCCTACCCTTGATAAGCATGACATTGTTATGAAAAGAGTAGAGTTACAATTCATGGGATTGAGGTGTGGTGCCCTTTATGTGTTTGGTATTTAGTGTGATTGAAAAGATCATGTATGTTGCTAGTCGTTCATTGATTGAGCCTAAGCCAATGGTTTTGAATATGTTTATTTGATTTCTTAGTTGTTGATTTCTTCTTCTTCTTCTTCTTCTTTGGTGAATATAAAATATTTTGGGTGAATATTTTGCTGATATGTTCTTACAACATGTTTTAGACAACAAAAGAGGGTCCTTTGATGCTATGGATGGTTCTTGCAGGTGAGAAACCAATCATATCTAATGTTGAAATTGAGGTCAATGTTATGGATGGTATCCAAAATGCAAGGGTCATTTGAACCATTAACTTCCATTTGGCCATGTACTTTCCGGATATAAATATTCTAGCCATTATTGATACAGATGTTAATTACGGATGTGCAGAACAGTGTCAGAATTGTAATAACCAAGTGTACACGCCTGGTTTTATAAAAAGCTTAAGTGGGTCTACTTTGCTTTGGCCTAGAGTGAACCTAGAAGTGTAGTTGGATCTGAATCAGGGGCCTAATGCTTTAGGTGGGCTTCATTCTTCATAGAATGGGCTTAGTGAGCCAAGTGGGTTAAAAGCCCAAATAAATAACAGCAAGAGTGATGCAAATATAAAGCTGAAAAGGAATAAGAAATGGAGTAAAAGACCAACTGTCGACAACAACCTCAGAGAAGGGTTTTTTTTGATCTTGTGAGGAGATATGGACATAAGGGTGCTTCAACAAGTAAACCAGCTCCAAAACATGCCTTGCTGAGAGCAGCAACTGTAGAAGTCTCACTATTGACATCTATTGAGAATGGGAATGATGGAGGAAGAAGAATCCTTAATAAAGCTGAAGCAACAGTACAGTTAGGCAAAATATTGGGTTTGGAGAATAATGGAACAAAAGAGGAAGTTCTTAGAAAAATGGTGGAACTAGAAAAGAAGGATAAGGAGAAGCTTGTGGGGGAAAATGGGGCAACTGCATAGGGTGTTTGTGGAGGTGGGATTTCATTGGAGCCTTATAATGTTTTCTTATGAAGATACTGATTTGGAATATTAGAGGAATTGGGAGGCAAGAGAAGAGGGGAAAGATACAGAAGTTGGTGAAGGACAGAAATGTTGATATAGTGTTGATTCAAGAAACAAAAAAAGCTGCTATTATAGAAAGAGAAGTCAAAGAAATGTGGGTGAGGACTAGAATGAAGTTCATGTCAGTGGATTCTGAAGGTACAGCTGGAGGATTGTTATGGATATGGGACCCTGAGGTATTTCAACTTGGTGTTTGCTGCAGTAGTAAAAGGTTCATACTCTTATCAGGTACAATATTTAATTCTTTTGAGTGTGTTTTACTGAATATCTATGCATCGAATGATGTGGGTGGTAGAAGAAAGCTTTGGGATAGTTTGCTTAATCTGAAACAAGCTTTTCCTAAACCATGGTGTCAGTGTGGGGATTTTAATGAAATTAGACATATTGGTGAGAGAAAAGGTTGCTCCAGAAGAGAGAGGGGTATGACTGAGCTCAATGAGTTCATTGAGAATAGTGAAGTACAAGACCTACCTTTATTAGGAAGAAAGTTCACATGGTGTAATTCCAGGGAAGAAGAGAAATGGAGTAGGATAGATAGGGTGTTGGTAGATCCAAGATGGCTGGAGGTTTTTCAATTAAAATTATGGGGATTACGTAGGCTCATCTCAAATCACAATCCACTACTCTTGATGGAAGATAAAAGGGATTGGGGCCCAAAGCCGTTCTGGTTTCTAAATGCTTGGTGTCTATATCCAAATTTCTCTTTCTTTGTGGTTAAAGTTTGGAGGGAGTCAGAGACTAATGGTTGGGTTAGATTCATATTACAGAAAAAATTGAAGGATTTGAAACTAGCACTTCGGCAATGGAATAAGGAGGTGTATGGGTCTGTGGCTAACAAATTGAAAGCAATAGAGGAGGAAGTTCATAATCTTGATCTTCAAGCAGAGAATAGAGAGCTAGACCAGCCTGAGAAAGCTAGAAGAAGAGCAGCTAGTAAAGAGGTATGGAGACTTCATAGAATGATGGAATGGACATAGTTACAAAAATCAAGACTGAATTGGAATTTGAAAGGGGATCGAAATACCAAATTTTTCCATGTGATGGCCAAGGGTAGACAATGTAGAAACGAAATAACATCCATTGCCTTTGGTGGTTCAATGCTTGAGAAACCTAGTCAAGTGAATTCTGCAGTGTTTGAGCACTTCAAGAAGTAGTATTCTGAAGAGTGGGTGTCAAGACCTAAGTTAGGAGGCATAGTCAAATCAGTGAGTAGCAATCCATATTTTGATGTGTTGGAAACTGAGTTCTTAGAGTCAGAAATCTTGGCAACAGTGAAGGATTGTGAAGGAAACAAGGCACCTGGCCCAGATGGTTTCAACATGTTATACTTCCAAAAATTCTGGAAGGTGATGAAAGGGGAAGTTCTCAATTTTATGAAGGAATTTTATAGGGATGGTAGATTAGTGAAGGGTTTGAATAGCTCCTTTATTACTCTTGTCCCTAAAAAGGAAAACCCTGTGGGCTTAACAGATTATAGGCTAATCAATTTAGTACGATTAGTATACAAGGTTCTAACTAAGGTCCGGTCAAGAAGATTAAAAGAAGTGCTACCTTGCATCATTAGTGAGACCCAATTAGCCTTTATAAGAGGGAGAAACATACTAGATGGGGTTTTGATTGCCAATGAGGTAGTAGATGGGTAGCAGAAATCCAAGAAGAAGCGTGTGATCATTAAACTTGATTTTGAGAAGGCGTACGATTCAGGCAATTGGGGGTTTCTATATTCTATGCTCCTGAAGTTTGGTTTTGGGTTAAGATGGGTTAAATGGATTATGGAGTGTCTTAGCATGGCTAGAATTTCAGTACTTGTAAATAGGTCTCCAACTAAAGAGTTTAGTCCTCAAAAGGGTCTTTGACAAGGTGACCCATTGTCCTCCTTCCTGTTCAACTTGGTTGATGGTCTCAATATGGTACTGACAAGAGCATACCAGATGGGAATTATTAAAGGTGTGCAAATTGGTGTAGATGATGTGATGTTGTCTCACTTGTAATTTGAGAATGATTCTATTCTTTTTTGTGAGGCTGAATAAAAGGAGGTCAGAAGCTTAAAGAGGATCTTGAGGTGTTTTGAGGTGCTGTCGGGCCTAAGGATTAATTATCATAAGAGTCAAGTTTGTGGAGTGGGTGTTTCAGATGAATCTCTAGCTAGATTTGCATCTATTTTGAATTGCAAGATCAAGAAGCTATCCATACAATATTTAGGTTTTCCCCTTGGGGCTAATCCTAATAGAAATCAAACTTGGAAACCAGTGTTGGACAAGATTCGTAGCAGGCCAGCTAGTTGGAAAAAAAAAGTTTTTATCCTATGCTGGAAGGCTAAGTTTAATCAAATCTGTAACTGCATTGTTGTTGGTATATTATCTATCCTTGTTTAGATTACCTCAAGGGGTATCTAAAGTGATTGATAGATTACAGGTTTCATTCCTTTGGGGGGGGCTGAAGTAAGGAGAAGGATACACTTGGTCAAATGGGCTGATTTGTCAAAAAGTGTGGATCAAGGGGGACTGGGGCTAAGAAGAGTAAAAGTAATAAATGACTGTCTACTAATCAAATGGTGGTGGAGGTTTGGGTATGAAAAATATGCACTCTGGAGGAAGGTTATTTGTAAGGTGGACTTGAGTGATTGGGTGCCCACTTCCTGCACAAGGCCAAGTGTCTCTAGTGTATGGAAAGGTATAATCAATATTGCTATGTCTGATAGCCCACTTCTACAGTTTTACCTGAATAATTGGCAGTTAAAGTATGGGGATGAAAGCAGAGTAAGGTTTTGGTTGGATAAATAGTGTCATGCCACCTGTTTCAGAGAGGAATATCCTGGCTTATTCTTTTTAACCTTGGATAAGGAGGTTTTACTAAGAACAATGAATGAGAGAAAGGAAACTGTAGAGGATTAGGTGTTTAACTTTAGAAGAAGGCTCTATGGTTCGGAAGATTGTGGGGTCACAAGGCTTAAAAATCTCCTGGGTATTGCACCTGCTTTGGTGGTTAATCAAGTTGATAGACCAGTGTGATTTGCAGAAGCAACAGAGGTATTCTCAGTGTCCTCTATGTATAATGAGGTTTCGCTACTGCAAGTCCTCAATTGAGTATTTGTAAACTAGTGTGGGTTAAATACTTGCCTCCCAAAGTCCAATTTATGGGTTGGCTTGCATGGTAGAGTAGATTAAAGACGTCAGTTTTTCTTCAAAGAATTGGTGTGCTTCAAAGCAATGCATTAACTTTATGTGTATTCTGCAAAGCTGAGATTGAAACTGTGAACCATGTCATGGTGTCCTACCTATTTGCGTCATCTGTGTGGTCTGAAATACTGAATTGGTGGGATGTTCAAAGGGCCTTACCTGGAACTATTAAAGGGTTACTTCTATGGTGAGATGGGGAGAGGCTCAGCAGTAAGGAGCGAAAGATTTGGAGGGGCATACCTCTGGTTATGTTGTGGTCCCTGTGGAAGCTCAGAAATGATGTGGTGTTCAATGCTTCACTCCCTGATATGGCTGAGTTATGTGAAGTGATAAAAGTCAGAATTGCACTATGGTTGAGACCATATTACTTAGACCATATTTTTACAGTTCAGGATTTTGTGATAAATCTTAGGCAAGTGAGAAGGTGCATTTCAAGAAGAAGTGTGTAAGGTGGCAAATGATATGGATGGAATGCCTGATTTGTGTATTAGCATTAGGTTGCTGAGGTTAAAGTCTAATCTAGGTGGACTCCTCTGGTTGTTGAGGTTAATGACTGATCTAGGTTGCGCTGGCAGTGTATGCTATGTGTATTGTTGTGGTATTGCTGATTGAATTGCCTTCCTATCTGTGCTAATTTTGCTATTGAGGTATAATTGAGGTCTTGCTGGTGGATTGGATCTCTTCTACTGCTGCTTGAGCCTGTTTTTACTCTGTTTCCCCAAGATTCCATTTCTAATCTTAAAGTCATCAGATGTTGTTTGGGTGGATGAATGCTGTTATATTGGCCTGAATTGCTGTAGTGTGGAGTGTTGAACTATTGTGGTGTCTGTCTTGCTATGCTGAACTAATTTGTATTGATGCTGGGCTCCTGCTACGGGTTTCATAAAATTCTATCTATTTTTACTTGGTAGCTCTCTGGTTTGGGTTGGTATTGGTGAAGATGGGCTACTGATAAAAGGAGTAATTACTCTATGGTGGACTGTGCTGCTATATATGGAATGTTGTTTTGATCTGTCAACTAGTTTTGGTCTGTTTATTTCATTATGTTATTCCTGTTTGGTAGTTTTGGATTGTTTAGTCTGTATCAGGTTTGGTTAGCTTTTTATTGGGTGAGGTTGTTTTTGGTGTTTGTGGTTGGTTCCTCACCAACTCGTGATGGTGGGCTAGCATATGATTGCGAGGTCTTATTGGTGCCAACCTAGTTAGGATTGATTAGGTTCGTTATGATACTTTTTGCACTCATTTTCCTTTTTCTTTTATTGATGTAATAGTTTTTTGTTTTATCAATAAAGTTCTTTTTCTTTGTTGATCAAAAAAATATATATATATGGAAATATATTATTATTAGTATTTGGATTAAATTCTTTACTTACATTGATACTGATCTTCACCAACATAGTCCTAACATTTGTATTTCTTTAGTTTCTGATTACAACACTATAAGTGTTGTGTTTCCATTTGTGTTTCTTGTACTCATTCTCGCTGATTATGAGACTTCTAAGTCAAGTTGCTAGGTTTTCTAAAGTGGGCATTGAGCTGAGTCTCTTCCTTGTTCCTTAGGTTGCCCCTTGAGAGGATAATATTTTGACATGGCCCGTAATAAGACAAAAGGCCCTCAGTAGCGGTTTTAAATTTAAGGATAGTTTTTATTTTTATAGATGTTTGAAATAATATTTTGGTAGTTGATTGATATATGTGTGTGTGTGTGTGTGTGTGTGTGTGTATGTGTGTGTTTGTAAAGCTTGTTTGCAATGTTTTCTTATATTGTACGGAATAGGTGAAATAAAACTTGTTGATTTTTTTTTTTTTAATTATAAAAAATATACTTATTCTACATCATGCAAAAAATATTGTGAAACTTGGGCTATCTACGACAGGCAAAATAGGTCATTGTATTAAATATTCAATGACTAGCAATGAACGTCGTGATTTATCCCTTAAATTAATGGCGTGCAAAAGTAGTTGTAGAAAAGTCAAACACAATGCACAAGATCTGATGTTAAAGGATTTTAACAGCATACTGCGGCAAGTCATTGAAGTGAATGATTTTTCATGACTGGTTATTATACGGTTTTACATTACACGTCATAAAATCCTCACCATGATGTGCATTTCATGTCGTTAAAAGTGAGTTTTATTGTAGTGGGGACCCCATCAGCAAGGGGTTGGTGTCACCCCTAGTAGTGATGGGAAAGGGATAGTGTGGTGATGGTGGTGGCTATGGAAGAGACGGCGATGGTAGTGGAGACAGAGGGTTGCGGTAGTAGCAACAACGATTGAGGTAAAGGTAATAAAACATTGGCGATACCTGTAGCGACAATGACAATGATGTTGGTGACAGTAGTGGTAGTGGTGATGGTAATGATGATGGTGGTGAAGGGGATGGTATCAGTGACGATAATAAGGTTGTGACAATATCCAATGATGTTTATGCATAAGTAGTTATAAATTCAGTTAATATTAAGTAAATTTTTCTATTAATTTTTTTTATAAAAATTTTAAACCTATATTTATGAGTCACTTAACCTTTAAGTGATATTAATTGCGATTTTCAAACGAACTTAATTTACTTTTACATAATACATTTAGTTTTAAGTATTGAATCGAATTATTAAATTCCACCTTAATTATGTGCAGATTATAAGTTTGACGCAACTTTGTTCGGTTAAAAATATTTTTTAATCGAAAAACTCTTTTTATCATTTTTTTGAATAATTTTTTGTGATAGAAAATAATTTTTATGTTTGGTTGCAACCTAGTTGTATTAGTGATGGTGGTAGTGAGAATTGCACAAGTGGTGGTGATGGTGATTGTGGAGGTGGTGGTGATGGTGATTGTGGAGGTGGTGGCGATGGTGACGTCGAATGCAATAGTGAGGCTGGGGGTGGAGGTCGGATGGTGGTATAGACGAAGTGGCGACAACGGTGATAGAATGTTGGTGGTGATATTATGATAAAATTAGTAAGATTTTAATTTTAAAAATATTTTTTAGCCTTCGTTTTTCTTAGACTATCTAAAACGTTATTAGTTGACATGCCAATAACATTTTGCTCCGAAAAGAAATGTGGAGTAGCTTTATTTCTTAGAATTTGCATGCCAATAAAATATGGTGTACGTTTAGATTTGAAATTTTTTTTTTTTAACTATGAAAATCAGTTGTTAGTGGTTAAATTAACACCAATCGTAATTAATCTTCTCATTCTTACAAAGTATCAAGTATTTACCTCCTAATAATTAAATGACCTCCTCATTAAAACTAAACTTCTAGAGAGTCATGAGGAAGCCCAATGAGTCATGATATGGGCATAGCCCAATTAGAGAGTTTCTGTATTTTTTTAAATTTTTTAATTTTTACAAATATTTAAGGCTTATGTTAATGACAAAAAAGTATAAATAAAATTAATTAATTAAAATTTAAATCAAACTTACCAAGTTCGCTATGACCCCTTTTTGTGTATTACAAAATTTTTCGTGAACGAGGTATTCCCTTACTAGATATTAGGTTTTGAGCCTTACCACTGCACTTGTTTCTCATTCCCCACCTCCCACCGATTATATAAATAAAAATAAAACTAGGATGCTTAGGGTCAAGTCTTATCAATGTGCTTTGTTTGGTTTAGTTTTTAAAATCTATTTTCTAAATTTTTTGAAGAAAATTAAAAGCTAAGTTAGTGAAAAAAAAAAATCATTAAAAAACACTTATAGTTTTCATGTAGTTTACATTTTTTGAGAACAAAAATAAATTTTAAAATTCTATTTTATTGTTTATGAGTGTCAAACTAATTTCTACTTTAAAAAAAAAATCTAAAATTGAAATCAAAACAGAATTAGGACTAAATTGGAAGTTTAAGCTGGATTCAAGCCCAAACAGAATTAGGGCTAAATTGGAAGTTTAAGCTGAATTCAAGCCCAAAAAGGACAGAGTCGGCTTAGACCCATAGTCACCAAGTACAAGTACAATGAGGCCCAATGGAACAAAACATATTTATTTATTCATTTTAATTAGGGCCTAGAATCGTTTGGCAATATTTACAGTTTATTATTTTTTGTTTACAAAAAATAGTAAATGTGTTTATATTTATTTTGGGTAAAAACAAAAATAAAAAATATGTTTAGTACACAAGTATTCTAAAATTTTGTTTTGAAAACAAATGAATGAGATTGTGGGAGGTGATTGTTGATGATTAGATATGGTGGCTAGAGGTGGTTAGCCACAAGGGTATGTTTGATTGGAAGGATTAAAGTATGGGATTAAGATTATTAATCCGTGGGTCCAATCATCCTATGTTTGTTTTGACATTTTGGTTTAGGATTATTAATCCAATGAATAATTAATCCAACAAATTTGTAGGATTATTAGTAATGGGGTAGGGGTAGGATAGTTAGTACCACACTAATTTGATAGGATTATTAATACCTCACTGTTAGTGTTGTGAATCAAACATGGCCAAAAGGTAGTGGCTAAAATTGTTGTTACTAGTAAGAGGCAGTTGGCAATGGTTAGAGGTGGTTATTGACCACAAGAAGTGTTTGTTGAAAGTGATTCTTAATGATTAGTGATTGTGGCCGGTTAGTCGTCTAAAGTGAATTTTAAAAAAAAAGGTGGTTGGTAGCAATGTCAAGTGGTTAGCAATTAAGAGTGATGGTGGTCGGAGATGGTTGACAGAGGAGGTTATTGGTGATAATAGCGAGTAGCGATGAATAGAGATGACAACATGGTAGGTTTGAAGTGGATTTGTTGTCCTCTGTCCCCACCCTATATCATATCAGGAGTGGGAACGGATTAATTTTGTTGCTTTAAGAATAAAAAAATTAATAAAAATTAAAGGTAATATAGTATATTATAAATAATAATTGACAATTACTGAGAGTTAAAAGATGTAATATGATAAATAAGTAAATGAAATGAATATTAAAATTTAAAAAGTTAAAAGTTAACTAAAATAGTCAATTTTCATCCGGGGCCTAAGTATAATATTTTAATATTAGTTTTATTATATTCAAAAATTAAATTATATGTGTATTATATATATATATATTTAATAAATAAAATTGAGGGAGAGACAAGATAGATCCGGATGGAAGCAATGTGTAGTAGTCAAAAAGAGTAGAAGAAAGAAGAAGAAATGAAAAAATAAATAAATAAATAGAAAGTGAAACTAACTTTTTTATGTTTTACATTTTGTAAATTATTTATAATTTTTTGAAAACAAAAATAGAAACCAAACGAGTTTTTGTTTACATTTTTCAAAAATTTTGTAAATATAAATAGAAAGCAATAAATATAAACATTATCAAACAGACTCTAAATAGTTTTAGGAAAATGTTTAAGATCTATAAAAAAATATCTCACAATTTGATCTACAATGATGTAACATGATATATGCTAGCTTTTGATTTGTTATTAGGGAGACTTACGTGTAGATCATAATAGATGAAATTATTGTCCAATATGTGGTATGATAAATAATGACATTTTTTTATCAAACATTATTAAGAAATGCCACTAATTGTTAATTTTTAACGACAGTTTGCAAATTGTCGCAAAAAATGTAACTAATAATAAGTTTTAGTGACAGTTTAAAAAAGTCGTCATAAGAAAATGACAGTAATTTTTAACTTTCAGCGATAGTTTGAAAAATTCGTCACAAAAAAGTCACTAATTGTAATTGTTAGTTACAATTTATAAAAGCCGTAAAAAAAAAATCATTAATTGTCAATTTTTAGCGATATATGTAAAAAATTGTCATAAATAATTATTTTTATCGACGATTTTACTAAGACTTATTTCAATAGGATTTGATGAGAATTAAATCCAACTATTATGACTCATTAGTAGTTTATTCTTGTTATAATTATATAGGATTTATCTTTCTTGTCACATTATTATAAATAAATTTAAGAATTTAAATTATGTGTTTCGCATTAATTATAGTAGTTCTATTGTTCCAATAAATTAAAATAAAAACTCACGTAGAATTTTTGTTTATTATTTTTAAGCTACAACACTAGTCGTCAATAACTATATGGGATTTGTGGGTTGAAAATTGGAATCTCTTGTCCCCAAGGTTTTTTTTAAAAAAAAAACATCTAAAGACACCTGTGTTTGGCAAGTGGGTTTGCAGACTTTTTTCACTATTTTAGTCACAAAAAATAAAATAGGCTATTTTAGCCATAACAAACAAAACATCACATCCAACCCATAATTATTATATTCTTCTCTCACAAAAAAACTCAAAAAGCCAAAAAGCCCTTCCCAAACCAAGCTTTTAAGCTCAGGCTAAAATAGCCAAAAAAGCCAAAAAATTAAAAAACTAACCCACTTCCCAAACGGGGCGCTAATATGCTTTGTGAGGGCAGCCTGACTTTTTAGACGCTAAAAGCGAATTTAGAAGATGGGGCTCAATTATATATATATATATATATATATTTTTTTTACAACATATATTAGTAAAATAGTAATAATTTTTAATTTATTTTTGTTTTTTTCTTTCTAGAAATTTAATATCTATGGTACACATAATTATTGAAATAAATTTTGAACATTTTCAATTATGAACACTATTAATTTATTCACATTTTTTTTCCTGATGGAGTAAATGAAATTGCAAAATTTGATTAACTTCAATTTAAAAATATATATTGTGGGGATATATTTTCTGAGTACCAACACGTGGCAAGGTGACGCCGATGTGTCAGCCGAGGTGCTACGTGTCCTGGTCGTGACGCCGAGGTGATCTCGGCTAGGCCGAGGTTGCCTCTGTAAATAATTTATACATTTGGCAATCAGCCATTATTTTTAAATAATTTGTCAATTCAATTATTTATTTAAACATTCATTTTTAAACTACTAATACTATAATATAGTACTTGGTTAATTGAAATAAAGTTCCCTTTTGACAAGAGGTTAAAAGTAACTTTTTTTTTTTTAACTTTTTAATCTCTTTTGAGTCACATTATCTCTTTATTTTTTTACACATTTTTTTAAAAAAAGTTAAAAAATTCAAGAAGTTAGCTTTTTAACATATTTCCCAAAACAATCCAAAATTGAATTCAATGTAATTTCTTAACTTCTTTATAAAATTAATATTCTCTCACAATGGTGAATAATAATTTTTTTTATAATTTTTTTAAAATAATTAAACATGAAAATTGACATTATAATGAAATGATTACTCTATTCAAGTTTATTTTAATAAATTAAACATAATTTAAGACCAAAATAATTAATTAAATATAACTTAAAATCAAAATTATTTTAAGATCTTATTTTTTAGTCAAAATTTAAGAGTCTAAGCGTCCGTTTGGAAAGTGTGTTGACTTTTTGGCTTTTTAGCTTTTTTGACTATATGAGTCTGGGCTCAAAAGCTTAGTTTGGGAAGGGCTTTTGGCTTTTTTGATTTTTTTGTGAGAGAAGAGTGTAATGATTATGGGGTTG